GCAAATATAAATGGAAAATTGCTGACAATACAATTGCGTTCAATTGAATTTCAATTGAAAGTGCATAGCTGAGTTATACAAAAGCTTGACAGACGTTGATTTTTTGATTTATTTGAACAATAATGGACTATTCTTTTAAGAATTATAGCATTTTGGCACCAAACAATTTTCCTTTCATAGAAAAAGCATCAAAACAGAATGTCAAAAATACCCTTAAGTCAAGTTGTTCTCGATTTTGTTGACCTACTTTTTGGAGAGGTAATTGAATAAGGTTTACAATTCCAACACGATTGAAATTAGACAAGTAGTTTTCAATCATCAGGGTGAGGTTTATCCAGGTTCTAAGCAATTTCGATATTTTTGATATATTCGATATTTAAGAAATATCTTCGAATGTACCCTTCGGTCGTTCAGGGTATAGAAAACGTTTGTGCCTAGCCCTGCGGGGTATATTCGTCGATATAACAACACCTGCTCTGAGGTCTATATTACTTCGACCATGAAAATTCACCAACATTTTTCAAATATTCATTGAAATTTCCGCCATTACTACGGCCCGCCGTTATGAGGTCACACATTACTCGTATTAACAGGGGTACTGTTGGCGAATATACCCCGGGTGAAATGTTGACGTCATAAAAGGTGTGAATACAGTCATGTTCGAATTCAAGATACTGACCGGTTAATTCGAAGAACTTTTGATGTGTGTTCAGAGTACCTTTTGAGTAAATGAATGTTTGAGTTTTGGGTTGGGTCGCCACAAATTTTGATGATTTCATTATGTCACTTTGTTAATTCTGGGCACTGTTTAAATTAACAAATGCAACTTCCAAACTTTTCAAATGTTTTATAGAGATGTGAGGAGTGGCCCGCTCCCCCTAGAAAATGTTACACTTTTGAGATGCTATTTGGTGATTTCTGGGTACGTTCAAAGTGTATGAGTCAATAAAATTGAATTGAGTCAAAGAGGTTCAGAAGGTGAGCTAGGGTGGGGTGCCAGAGGGGATCGGAAGCAATAGGTTGTCCCCCAGAAACATTGACCATATGAAGGTGCTATTTGATGATATCTGGGCACTTTAAAAGTGTCTGAGACAATAAATGGAATTCAGAATTGTTCTAATTGTTTTGGTGGGATGTGTGGGGTGGCCCACTACGTTAGAACATTTTACGATTTTAATATGCTATTTGGTGCTTTCTGGGCACTTTATTGTTTGTCCCCAATAAATATTGACCATATCAAGGTGCTATTGATGTTAATTCTGGGCATTGAACAAATGCAACTTCCAAGCTTTTAAATTGTTTTTAATGGGGACGTGATTAGTGGCCCGCTCCCCCTAGAAAATTGTACACTTTTGAGATGCTATTTGGTGCTTTCTGAGCACTGTCAAAGTGTATGAGTCAATAAAATGATCTTTTATTGCGGGATGCCAGAGAGTGAGGTGGGGTGCCAGATGGGAGCTAGGGGTTGTCTCCAAGAAACATTGACCATATCAAGGTGCTATTAAATGGTGTCTGTGAACTTTAAACGTATCTGAGAAAAAAACATAAAATAAATTCAAAATTTTCAATTGTTTTGTATATTGGTCCCCCTAGAAAAAGTTACAATTTTAAAATGCTATCTTGTGCTTTCTTGGAACTTTCAAAGTGTATGATTCAATAAGACACATTGACTTTTTTATGGGGGGGGTGTAAATTAGGGAACCAGGGGGGAGTAGACTATATCCTATTTAGTCTGAATAATATTCAGACTATACATATAGTATGTTAAAATTTGTTAACAAAAAATATTTGTTTACATAGGAAGTGATATTCAAAATGGCTATTCAAAATGGCGGGAGTGAATTAATTTGCATATTTGTTACTTCAACTAGCTTTATTTCCACCTAATATGTTGTGTTATTATTGCATTTAATAAAATGTACCTTACTACTTAATTGAAGTGATAAAATGTTGTTTTTTTAACTAATGCTTCCTCAAATTGATAATTTTTTGCAGAAAATTTCACTGCAATTTCCACAGGACAGTAGTACATCATAACAGACTGACTTCTATAGTCAGTCTGTTAGATACATACTAAGAGGTGGAGGTGAGGTGGGGGTGCTAGAGAGGAAGCAAGTGTTAAATGCTGACTATAGTAAGGAGCTATTTGATGATGTCTGGGCACTTTAAAAGTGTCTGAGACAATGTATAAAATAACGTCAATTGTTTTGTGGGGGTGTGAGGGTGGCCCACTCCCTCTAGAAAATTTTACAATTTCTTTATCGGGGGGGGGGGGTGCTAGTCTATATCCAATAGACTGAATGAGAATTTTCATTCCAAATTTCAAAAAAAATTAAGACTGAATAAGATGTTGTCTAGGGGGTATGCGGTCGCATCCATAGAACCCCCCCCCCCCCCCCCCATCTGACGGCCCTGCCAAAGACAGCTTAGGTGTAACATGCTAATTGTGCATGGGTTTTTGATATACACAGATGATGGCATTAATTATCGTTAGGTATTCAGTGATTGCCTTGTCTGATAAGAAGACGTGTATGGCCAATCATACAATTGCTAACTTGATATTGATATAATTGATATAATTACATGTACTTATATTAAGGAGAACTACCTAAATGACCTACAAGAATATTGAAACTTTAAAGATTAAATCCGGGAGATAAGATCATAAAACGTTTCGTCTTACTTGGATTTCCGCAATCTGTCCTCCCTCTTGAACGATTTGATGAGGAATTCCATCCTCTCACGAATAGTTCGTAAACTATCAACGTGGAGACTTTTACACACGTCGAGGCGAACAGCCTCCCAATTGGGAGGATTCTCCAATGGATTTCTTGCCAGGGAAGAACGCACTAAGACTAAGTCGTCTTTGAGTCTAAAGTAAACACGTTTTTTGGCGCTTTCTTGATCTTGAGACATGATGTTCAGCAGTCCACGCGCTATGGATGAATATTGAAGGCTCATTGTGCTGTTTATAAGTACGATTTGCAGGCCACTCACTCATAATCAAATTAGTTGACTAATTAGCCTGGTTCCTTTCATCAAAATTAGCACGATATACACTAAACATTATGTAGGTCACTTAAATTTAACATTTAGGGGAAATTGATATACATTTGAAGGACAAAAATAGATGCGGAAACAACTACGCACAAAAGTGTCAACTTTACGTACTTTCGGTATTGCAGTCGATAACACAAACGTATTGAGTCCACATTTGCTCCATCGATGCGTTACGGATTTTGATACGGGCAGCTGAAACGTTGTGCGAAGCAACTACACTGTGATTATTGTAATACCATTCCACACAGTGTAAAATGAATTGAACATACCATTTGGAAAACTCGATTTATGTCAAACAATTAACAAATCCATTCACCAAATCTAAGTCATATATTGAACAACACAATGTGTTTGTTCATACAGTGATACTTTTAGAACTAAAATCAATGTAATTGTATGATAAAATGGGATGCGTAAATGACCAACGTACAAAAGCCTCATTTTTCGTGTTTTCCGTATTGCTGCACGTATAAATTGGACGGACTGCGCATAAATCTGGTAAATACGTTACGGATACGGATACGTTGAGCTAAAAAACGTTGTGCGAAACCTCTCTATTATGTGGATGACTTAACCGACAGCATTAGGTCATTGGACATGGTTAATCTTAACTCCTTTACATCTTACCTTATGTTTAATGTATTTTGTGAAAGACTTAACCGACAGCATTAGGTCATTGGACATGGTTAATCTTAACTCCCTTACATCTTACGTTATGTTTGATATATTATGTGGATGACTTAACCGACAGCATTAGGTCATTGGACAAGATTAATCTTAACTCCCTTACATCTTACGTTATGTTTGATATATTATGTGGATGACTTAACCGACAGCATTAAGTCATTGGACAAGATTAATCTTAACTCCTTTACATCTTACCTTATGTTTAATGTATTTTGTGAAAGACTTAACCGACAGCATTAGGTCATTGGACAAGATTAATCTTAACTCCTTTACATCTTACCTTATGTTTAATGTATTTTGTGAAAGACTTAACCGACAGCATTAGGTCATTGGACATGGCTAATCTTAACTCCCTTACATCTTACGTTATGTTTGATATATTATGTGGATGACTTAACCGACAGCATTAGGTCATTGGACAAGATTAATCTTAACTCCTTTACATCTTACCTTATGTTTAATGTATTTTGTGAAAGACTTAACCGACAGCATTAGGTCATTGGACATGGCTAATCTTAACTCCCTTACATCTTACGTTATGTTTGATATATTATGTGGATGACTTAACCGACAGCATTAGGTCATTGGACAAGATTAATCTTAACTCCCTTACATCTTACCTTATGTTTAATGTATTTTGTGGATGACTTAACCGACACCATTAAGTCATTGGACAAAGTTAATCTAAACTCCCTTACATCTTACGTTATGTTTGATATATTATGTGGATGACTTAACCGACAGCATTAGGTCATTGGACAAGATTAATCTTAACTCCTTTACATCTTACCTTATGTTTAATGTTTTTTTGTGGATGACTTAACCGACAGCATTAAGTCATTGGACAAAGTTAATCTTAACTCCCTTACATCTTACGTTATGTTTGATATATTATGTGGATGACTTAACCGACAGCATTAGGTCATTGGACAAGATTAATCTTAACTCCTTTACATCTTACCTTATGTTTAATGTATTTTGTGGATGACTTAACCGACACCATTAAGTCATTGGACATGGTTAATCTTAACTCCCTTACATCTTACGTTATGTTTGATATATTATGTGGATGACTTAACCGACAGCATTAGGTCATTGGACAAGATTAATCTTAACTCCTTTACATCTTACCTTTATGTTTAATTATGTGGATGACTGTTACAAGTAAATCTAGGCTATAAATACAGACGCCATGATTTTAAGTGAACACTAAACAAAGACGAAATGTATTGAGTATTGCATTGTTCTATATTCTTGTCACAATAATATAGATTCAATATTTCCTTATCAAGTTGATCTATCCCATATTTTCACGGCAGATCTTACGACCACATACTCGAGACTTGCAGCATTTATACTGTGTGCCCTCTGGGGGTATTAGGTTGACGCCCTCTCCGTTACACTCACAATCATTGCTGCACACCCGTTTACAACTTGCAATATCGGTTACATCCTTTAGAGGACAGGTCCCAGGGACAACAGCTTAAAGATAAAAGCATTATTTTCAAAGTGTTGAAATATTTCTAAAAATGAATATTTCAACACAACATTCATTGTCTTGATAAGGTCGTGTGTAATTAATACGTTGTCTAATATTTCGCAGAACCAAAATATCAAAATCATAAATTCTTCTAGAAATTAAAATAACGTTAAGACGGCGTTGGCGTGCATTGGGTGTAATGCACGGGACAACTGTCTAGAACATCTTAATTATTTGTTTGCCTCCCAAATTTTAATTTGCCTGCCCAATGTTTAGTTGCCTCTCCCATGGGGGACTATATTAAATCGCCTATTCTATAAGGTCCTAGTTTACTGCCCCATTTCTAAATCCCAAACGAACTGTTGAAAGTTATTTTCGCAAATTCCAAACTTGTGATATCACATTGCCGATTTATTTTCTCTTAGACTTATATTAGGCCGTATTTATGCAGATGACCAAGGAGGATAGGCTCCCAGAGTACAGCAACGACATCTTTGACATTTATGAGCATGTCGTGATTACAAAATTCGAACCAAACAGCCTCCATTTTGTTCACCTCAACATTTGAATCTTGAATTTAGGTCTTATTTCCAAACTAAGAATTCCAAAACTCACAAGAAATTATCGAATATTGGTTTGATCTATTGGACTGTTTATTTGTATTTATCATAACGTTTCGACGTTTTCATTGTTGGAAAATATCGAGTTTCGATACCGGGAGCCAATCCCCCTTGTCAGATGACTGTTACTAACAACGGAAACGCATTCATGAGGCTCATATTTTCATAGTTCAAGATATGGATATGACTTCTGTTGCTATTGATAATGCAACACATTTAGAAAAATATAGTTTAATTATGTGTGACTGCAATGTTTACATGATAGCAAAGCTAGTATATTGTATGTTTAAACGACGTAAATTATTTTTATTGTAAATTGTATTCAGTGTCTCATAAGTCGGCAACGGCTGGACGTGTACATATTATTTTACGTCTTCATGTGTATGTATATTTTAATTGTTTTTAGTGTAATTTGTATACTTGTGACACTAAAATAAACCATTTTAAACTTTTAAACTGAAAAACTAATTCATATAACAGTTTGCGTTCTTACTATTGCTAAGCTGCATGCAGTACTTGACCTCTTTCCCTTCACGAGATTTCACTGGACAGCAACCATATGGTCCAGCTGGCTTAATGGAAGACGAGATTATGGGGTTGCAATCAGAACTCGTCTGGCACTCTTTCGATGAGCGGCCGGGGATATAGATACTCGTGATTAGACTGACTCTATCAGGGCAAACACATAGCTTTTCCTGGAAATTGAAACAGAAACACCAATAATGTAATGTGATATAATGCATATTGGGTGTCCCAAAAAGGTGGATCGCTTTTTGACAAGTGTTTTCACAGCAATTGATAGTAATTCAAGGGAAAGAACTAAAAATCTTAAAGAACCCTAGCAAGAAAACCAAACACTAAGTTTAAACCTGTCGTAAGAAAAATGGGCCCCATATATCCCAAAACCATGCATGGTCTAACGTGAAAGGAACCCCCCCCCCCCCTTCCCTCCAATCAAGAGTCCATATCACAATCCAGGCCAAAGTACATTTCATTCTACCCTTTGCATTCGTTTGACTTCACTTCTTAAAAGAGAGCTTCGTCTTCACTAGACTATGCAAGCAGGGTAATTTCATTCATATTTATAATAGTACTAACAGTACTACCACATTACTACATTTTATATCCAAAGAACATGTGTACGTTTTTATAGATGTATTACATGAAAAATAACATATTTATAAAACATTTTTGACATTGTTCTTCTTGCAACTTTACCATACTGTTTACTAAGACACTTACCACTAAACATACTTTTGTGTTTAGAAATTACTTACGGCATAACAACCGAGCGCCATCAGCAAAAGACACACTGTTCGAATCATGTCTGGAACCAAGAGAATCAAATCATCAAATGAACCAGTATTCAATAATCAATCACAATTTATATCTATATTTATTTGTTATAGAGGAGACCAGGGCAAAACGGTCCGCAACGTGGCGTCGGCTTCAAATTCTAAACGAGCTAAAATACCATATTGAGACTACAGGGTGAGCTAAAAAAGCAATACCCAACTTCAAATCAGGATAACAATAGCTACGTTCAATATGATACATTGATTTAATATCATTTTAAAGGTAATCCATTTTAAAACAATTTGGTATATAACACTTTGTCATGAAATCAATATAAGTGTTTAATTATACTTATTTGTGAGGCCGGGTTGCTATTTAAGGTCTCTAGATTTTAGGGAGAAAATAGTAAATCTGCGGATGCGGATTTTTAATTATAGAATATCATTTTGTTAGGTAAATACATGCTTGTATATTTACATAGTTGTGTGACTAAACGTATTGTTTATTTTTAGTGTTGTTTAAGGGGGTCTGTTAAAATACATTAAACGTATATGTGGTGAAGATCTAATTTTTCAACAAGACATTGCCTTGAACCAAAGATCAAAGGACACATTGGCATTCCTTTGCGAACAAGGTGTCAATTACTCAGATGCGAGTAGGTAGTTACTATTTTCGCCACCAGGTGGCTGATTCGGGGAAAATAACATGGCAGGGTATTACAAAGTTCCCTTAAACTTGAATATTCATCAGTTTTAGTGGTTCACTTTTCATATTACCCTTATGTATCTGATAGTTATACAAATTAAAATATGTCCAGTAAAGGAAAATGTTATCTGCCCAACATAAGAAAAGATATTTCACTTTTTGTGATTTTACAACATGGGGTCTATGGGGAAATCTCCCCGACCTAGAAGTCACATTTTCAAAGACAATTAAATTTCCAAAGTTGATAAACTCTTATCAAAACCACATGGTTCAATCACAAGCATCCAAATAAACAGTATTGATGAGCTGAAACACAGAATCCTAAAGTGCTGAAATGAATTGCAACAAACATCTGTCAATAAGACTATTGATAGATTGCGCTACCACTTGAAGCTTATTGTTGACGCAGAGGGGGGAGGGTATATTGAGCAATTGTGAAAATAGAAGTGTAAAATGTTATTAAACAACACTGAAATTCATAAACAATAAATTTAGCCACACAATTATGCAAATATCAATATCCAAGCATGTATATTCAACTTACAAAAAATGATATTCTATAAATAAAAAATTAACATTCCGCAGATTTACTATCTTCTCCCTAAAATCTGGAGACCTTAAAAAGCAACCAGGTGTAAAAGGGGAGGAGGTCCTATCAAAGTATGGTCCTACTCCCCATTGATTTATATGGTGTCCTAAATGCAACTCTTTCCCTCATTATCTTATACGCAATAAGGGTCAGTAAGGGCCGTTAAGAAAGAGGACCATAATCCCTGGGGACCATCATTTCTTTCACACCGGCCTCCCAAATAAGTATAATAAAACTTTACTATTGATTTCATGATATAGTGTTATATACCACATTATTTGATGTTTAACCTTTAGAATGATATTTAAGTCAATGTACCATATTGAATGTAACTATTTTTATCCTGATTTGAAGTTGGATATTGTTTTTTGGCCCACCCTGTATATTAAGTATATAGTATCAGTACAACGGCTACTAAAACAAAGAACGATTAAAGAGTAGAGATTGGGAACGTGAACATTTGGTTTTTTCATTCATAAATATGGATAATATTATTTTGATTTAAATACAATTCCAGGCTATTACCGTCCTCCAGTGTTGACAATTCCTGTTGTGCCAGTCTGGGTCAAAATTTTACAATGTAGTATTGATAACATGGAACACTTCTAATAAAAGAAATTTAAATTAAGCTTTGAAAACTCCCGAAAATAACACGAACGACTTTAATTATGAACCGTTCACATTTTTGCAAAGGCGGATTTTACTCGAGTATCCCTCTCTGCCCCGCGTTCCGTTTTGCCCCGGTGGCCCATACTACAAAATGCAACCGTAATGTTTTAAATTGCTATAATATAGCAATATTTCAATTATATTATAAACAATAAAACTTGATATCATAAACAATATATCAGTAATATATACATCCTGTTTGAAGAAATATGTCAGAATAAAGCATATATGGTAGGCGCACATGTTAGCAATGATCATAATGGCCTTCCAAAAAATTACAAACTTTATGATGAATCGGAATGAAAGTGACCTATTTTTATCATTGGGACTTAATTCAATTTATCACATAATACAAAATACAATTACAAGGGCCGATCAATATATTCGCTACCTTTTGCTTTTCATTTATATTTGTAAAGGCCCAGACATGCAATGTCTAATTCCGCATCTTTTGATGCCCATTACCATATATGGCAAAGAATTGTTGTTGTCATAGAAACGGAAGGAATGGGCCACCGGAGCCTCTCATGATTTTACTGTAATTGCACATGCAATAATCTATATGCCCATTTTTATTCATTGTTATACTCAAATTATTTGGATCGAAACGCGAGTCGCGGACAGTCAAAATATGATATTGAAAACATCGTATATGCATTTTATAACATGTATTAATGACACCCTTAGGTTATTTTAAAAACATTTTCGGTGAATTTGAGTCAGCAGTTGCTGAGAAAATACTTTAAAAAGGTGTGACATTTTTGGGACACAATAATATATATGAGCACCCTGCCTCATGCGTCTCTCTACTATGTATAAGGTGTCATTGTGGTACTATTATTTGGTTACATGACTTACATTTGTATATCAGTCATTGTGGGATCCACTGCAGTCTCAACTACCCCTTTGAATTGAGAGAAGTTTAAGAAAATGAGAGACTCTGATAAATCAGAATGAATACCTTTAATTACCATCCTGAAAACTGATAGGCTTTGTCATATAACCCATCCCCCCGAAGCTTTGTCCCATGATTTAGGATCAAATGCAGAGTGATTCCTGTGTCATTAAAACGTTTTTAAAATCCATGCATTATCAAAAAAATATATCGCTAGATAAAAAATGAACGTTATAGATGACGTTTCTTGTAATTAAATTGGAAAAAACCGGTTTGTTTAGAATCAAGGACAGCCAATGCATTTTAACATTTAAATCACGCACTAAGAAATAGATGAGAAGGATAAGTGTCGTGCCTAATTGATCGAATCAGTTATAATTTACGTTAAATGGCTTGCATAAGTGCTAACTTTGGCATTTTATATTTTTCTTTATCGAGTTTATTTTTTGTTATTACAATTTTATATTCGTTATGCATTGACTTGAGACGGTAAGTTAAGTATTCATTATTATTGATATTCGTTTAGTGTCATTTCATCAAATATCTTTGCTATCTGCAATAATTCATAGTAATATGTATTGTTATTAGAGAATTTTCGTAACAGTAAGTTTGAATTACTTATACTGAAACATATGTGGTGTAAGTTACAGATTAAAATCATGTAAAATCATATTTAAAACGTGCAGCCCCCTAAGTAAAGTGTAAGTTACAGATTAGAATCATGTTTAAAACGTGCAGCCCTTCGTATTGTCTTTAAGTTCACTTAAAAGCTCACTTTGGGAATTTTCAACATTTTTGGACAAAATAAAGACTTACATTTAAATTTCATAGTATGTCCAATGTATTGATGAACCTTATCTTTCATTTGACACCAACAACAGCTCAAATGGACCACATCGAAGCTTACAATAAATTATCAAAAAATATTTTTGATCTGTCAAGCTATATCAAGTTTTTAGCAATATCATTGAAAGATGGCGAAGTTGTTTGTATTACATGATACATTCATTTTTATAGAAGTGTCGCCATCTTTTAAATCAATAGTAATTTAAAACATGCACTTTGTTTAACATGTGCATGCATGTCTAATGATCTCTGAACTTCAAATGCTTTTTTGTCTGCGAGTTAACGAGACCCGTTCGGATCTTTACAAAAAATGCTCAACGATAACATATGATCTTACATATGATGACATCGGACCCAACGGAAAAAATTAACTGATTATATCGTTGTGAAAAGTGTGAATTTGACAAAATATTTTAATAAGTACATTAATTTAAATGTTTATCCATGTATATCCATGTATCATTCGCTTACCGATCGACTTTCTGATGTATGGCTCTAAATGCTAAATTGGTCAAAGTGAATAAGTGAAAAAATCAGGCAAAATATATTTTATGTTTGCTTACTTTGACAGTTTGGACATTTTGACAGTATAGATTAACTTTAAAGTACATAATTCGAGGCAACCATTACTTGTAAGGATATATATGCTTGTAAGAATTCTAGTATAGGCATCTAATCTTGGCACGGTACATATTATGTATTGATAAACTTTGCTCTTATTAATAGATGGCGTACAGGTGCCCAACGTACGAAAGCCTTGTGATATTTTTAACTATGTCACGACTTACTGAACACAGCTGGCTCAAAAGCCCGACAATGTGCATACATGAACTGTATGTCGAACACGCTCGGTGTTCTTAACACGATTTTTTCCAAGAATTAGAATACATATAACGATAACGATATAGCGATAAAAAACATTTCAGAAATACACGACAGTCAATATTGGAAAGCATTTAGAAACGCAATCAGATGAACAACATTTATATTGTTCTATCATCGTTGGAAACACAACTGAATAGTACTGTATGAATGTAAATGGTAAGACAATCACCAGGGCCTATACACTGCGCACGTGCGATGTCCTGGACAAGTAGGATATTATGTGAGAAACACAATCGGTTGAACAATCGTTAGGATAACAACACAATACATGATCGGTCTATTACTAAATTAAATATGACAACGTGGGCAATGATAATAGGACATTTGGGATGAAAACCCAATCAATTATCTTTGACGAGCATTACAACGTCTGGACAACCGTTTAAGTGAAAACGCAATTCACTAAAACGGTTGTCCAGACGTTGTACGCTCGTCAGTTGCCACTGAAACCTGTCATAATTTGCCAGACAATCAAAATGTTTTCACGTACTATGTATCCAGTATATGTTGTTTTAAACCCCGCCATGAGGCTGTGACTGTGAAGCTGGTGGTACCAATACAGTATACATGTATGTATACATGCATGGGGTATCCCAGTTTTATCCAATCGTATTGTAGTTGCGTATCTTCCCTTGTATGAAATTAAATCTAGTCTTGTGTATTCTACATTATTCCTCTCAGAATATGAACAAAATGCAACGTGCCGATACATTTCCAACCATTTACAATATTGCCTTTTTCAGTTTCATATTCAGTTTCACCTTCTAGCCCCGGTGCTTTTCGTTTCAAAGAATGAGTATCGCGGCATTCGTTGTAGGTTCACCTACTTAATATGCATATATTAGGAACCAGTGATCATTTGATCGAATCAGTCCAACGCCTTGCGTTTGTATCTGGTCTGGCGTATTCATATATTACAATACAATAATATAATTAATACTGAGCAATTTGGCTCAATTACACCAAGGCACATTGTTATTAAGTGAGGGATATTACAATTGGATGGTTGGATATTTAGTACGATATTAGAAAGGTAAGTGTTTGTTCTTCGTACTTAATTTATGCATTCCATGGCACACCCAGAAAATACATGTTATTTTTTAGACCTGATCACCTGATGAGATATTAGAAGTCATTTTACAGTCATACAACTTTGAGAATAAAATTCAATTCATTTTTGACGCCCGTGAAATAACAATTCAAATTCACTAGGCGTAGCGTTATGCCTAGTGTGTCTGGTCCGACATGTATACGACATATTGTATGGTATCTCGTAATTATAATAACAATATTCTGAAGCAATATTTTACATGAATTTCCTGTAATTATTGACAAAGTGGTTTAAAGGAACAATTTCCCGATCATTACAAATGCTTGGTTTAGTTCATATGAGATGTAAGAATTCAATGTTAAACTCAATGTCGGAAAGCTGCGTGTCAAACATGATACATACATAAATTACCTCCGTTCTTTTAGTCATTTTGTGGATTAATTCACGAACACACTTTTGCTTAACAGATAAAACAAGTCTGTTCGTAGATAATTCAAGAGTTTTTGGTAATTTTTCCAGTTCTTATATACTATTAAGTGTGCATTTATTATGATAAGTACGTATGGAAGTACACTTTTACATGGCAGCCATTTTGCGCATTGATTTGAATCTTGAGCCCAGTCTTAAAACTCCACATTGAAAAAATCGCATTTTCTCTCTTTTAATGAGCAGGGTTTGCATTATTTTCAATTTTAACACATCGGAGGCTAGGAATCACGAAAATGTACTTAAATGATGATATCCAGAACTGCGTTTGACCATATTCTGATTTTGAAGCGCATAGTTGTGAGGTTACGTTTACATGTACAAATGTGTTATGCATTTACTAAGGGCGGTGATGTAAATTGAAATATTTGTGTAATTAATCAAATAAAACTGTTGAAAACCTGTTTTGGAATAGATATGATGATCCTTGAATCAATGACATAGTTTGCTTATAAATACCACTGCCTAACAGGGTTCGAATGCCTAAAATGGCCGATAGACGTTCAGGTTCGAACATTCCATTTAGTACAGTGCGAAAGATCTGGTTAAAAGAGAACATAAAATATGAAACAATCGATTCAACATTTTAGAAATATTGCAGTTAGATTATCCAACGTTATGATATTTAGATCATTGCAAAAGCGAAGCATGCAATGACATCCGTCCGTAAATTAGAAAACAATATGCTTGACTTTTCCAATGTTTGTCGCCCTGAAAAAGCAATAGTTTACACATGTTCAATCATTATTGATCTCTTAAAAGTTATTCAGTTTTAACAATTAGTTTCCCATTGACGTTATAGTTTATGCGTGTCCGTTTATGTATATGTGCAGGGACGTGGTGGGTAAAGAATATCAGGCGAGGCAATTTGAATGCAAATATGCGAGGCAACTCTAGCTAAATGAGGCGCATTACTACATGTACATTATATGCTAATCTCTAAAAGTGTAATATTCAATTCGAATTCGGTCTGATTCGGGTATAACTAGACAAGTGTTCTCCACAGGTTTTTTCCTCCAGTGGGTGCAAAATTTTCATTTTCACAATTCAGACCAAAATTAGTCAAAAATGCCCATTTTCTCTCATTTTAAGTGGGTGCGAATGGATTTTCAAATGGGTGCTGCGCCCACTTGCTTTAATACTGGGGAATACTGGGGAGATAACTGTAGACGCTCTAAAATATTGTATATTATATAATGATGTATTTGTGGATATTAGTTGAGAGGTGTTATAAACAATTTGATGTAACATTGTCAGCAAGATTTTGTAACAGATACCATATGTCGGTTGTGATACGGGCAATTAGTAGATTGTATGCCATCAAAATAATGTGATGTATGACACTCAGCCCCCTGTAGATTGACAGAGAAAATGAGAAAATGAGAATTTGTTTGGCATTTTGAGAAAATATAATGCAAAGATGCCAAAACTCAAGTAAGTTGGAATGAATAGTATACGTTGTAATTTTTTGATTTGTTTGGCACTTTGAGAGTAAAACTGTGATAATTATAGCAAATCAAGAGCTACCTAATTGATTATATTAAGTGCCCAAACACTGTGCCAAAGCAGTTTTTAACATTCACATATTTAGATATGAAATGAATAGTTGCATACCTGCCAACCTAAGACCAAAATTTTGCGGTAGATTTTTTTTAAATTGCTGTATTTTTGCGGTAGATTTTTTCAAAATACGGTAGTTTTTGCGGTATTTTTCAGCAAAATTGCGGTAGTTTTTGCGGTAGATTTTAGAAAAAACGGTAGTTTTTGCGGTAGATTTTTTAAAAAACGGTAGTTTTTGCGGTAGATTTAAAAAAAATACGGTAGTTTTTGCGGTAATTTTTAAAAAATACTGTAGTTTCAGAGGTTTGGGGTAGATTTTTGAAAAAAGTGTAATTTTGCGGTAGAAATTTGAAAAAAACGGTAGTTTTGCGGAAGATTTAGAAAAAATGCGGTAGTTTTACGGTAGATTTTTAAAAATGCGGTAGTTTTTACGGTAGTTTTAAAAAAAACGGTAGTTTTGCGAAAGATTCTGAAAAAATGCGGTAGTTTTACGGTAGATTTTGAAAAAATGCGGTAGTTTTTACGGTAGTTTTTTGAAAAACCGGTAGTTTTGCGGAAAATTATGAAAAAATGCGGTAGTTTTACGGTAGATTTTGAAAATTGCAGTAGTTTTTACGGTAATTTCTTGAAAAAAAACGGTACTTTTGCGGAAGATTTTGAAAAAAATGCGGTAGTTTTACGGTAGATTTTGAAAATTGCAGTAGTTTTTACGGTAATTATTTGAAAAACTGGTACTTTTGCGGAAGATTTGCCAAAATGCGGTATTTTTCGGTAGAATTTGAAAAATGCGGTAGTTAAACCTTTATACAATGCGGTTTTCTATATTAATACAATGTCTACGTGGTCATATTGTTGTTAAATCAGAACTACCACCTGAGAATTATACGAAACTATTATTTTCAAGAAAAATAGATATACTATTTTCAATAATAAATAGAGACTAAACACGTTTTATTCTTCATTTACCATGCCTACAATGGACTGACAGCAACTTTGGATTTTAATGTTTCAGCAAAATGTACATATACAACTCTTTTACAATAAATCTAGATGGATTCAAAATATGAACACAATATTCATATCTCCACTTTTATTCACCTTCTAACCAGTTTTTTTAGATATCAGGATGTTTGGAAATACCATGAATGAAACATTTACTGAAAACAAAATATGGATTTTACACGTTTTTACTCACCATCTTAGATGATCTATCACTTTAACGAATTGAAATGACAAACATAATGTTCATATGACATTGGAATCATATGGTATTAAATATTGATTTGTTCACTCGCAAGTCTCTAATGATATCAATGTGTTTGTCTGGCACAAATAGAAAATAAGTACAGATCAATTGTCTTTCAAAAATCTGTTATGAGCATTTGCTGAAACCTTTCCCCTGAGACATCGTTATCACAATACTTTTATAATAAACCAGAACTCAATGCTTTATTTTTTAATTATGTTTTTGTTACTGATAATGTGTTCTGATGAAAAATACAACATCTTATCGTACTGTAAACAAATTGATTAAACTATGTATAATGTATATGTGGCGTTCATTACTGATCATAACAAATCAAACTACGCATATTTCATACGCTAAATATGCATACGCATTTCAACTCATTTATTTAGATGAAGCGCAACTAAAAACATATTTTTGTTGGATTCGGAATAAAGATCTGTGTACAAAGGGTTTGGTTAACTACAAAAATCATGGCAGAAAGAATTATTTCTAGCTAGTGGTAGTTGGTGTTTGGACTGATTACACGCAAGCTTACTTATATAAATGCGCAATAACCTGATAACCACAGACCTGCCGATACCTATTTATATTCGGGTTGTTGAAGGAATATTACAGGGACAGTACAGGGAGACTTCAATTTTTCAGCATTTCCCAACAATAACGGGAAATTTTACGGTAGTTTGAACAAAAATACTGTTGATTATAGCAGAAATGCGGTAGATTTTCGAAAATTTACGGTAGATTTTCAAAAATTTACGGAAGATTTTACGGCCGTTCTCATGGAATAAACGAGTTTTTAAAAAATAAAATTTACGGTAGATTACGAAAAAAATACGGTAGATTTTTTTACGGGCGTTTTAACGGGAAAAAATGGTATTTTTTTACGGTAGTTTGTCATTTTTTTACGGAAAAACGAAAAATTTACGGTAGATTCCCGTAAAAATACGGTAGGTTGGCAGGTATGAGTTGATTACAAGATATGTTTTAATTGAAAAACTGTAGGTCACACGTCCGATCAAAAACATTTGGTTATTTTACCGTGTAAATTGTACGTACGTATTCCTACATCACTGTTTCACAACTAGTTACTTTGACAGAACGTCAATGTAACAAAATGGATGAACTTCCTGGTTATGAGTTTTTTGTTTTCTCGATTTAAACTTACGTAAAAGTCATGTTGCGGATTATTACTTCATTTACAAAACAAATTCCAAATCGAAGAAACTTATTATAACTAGACTATATTTTCTAGCTTTGTGTCAAATTATGATATGCAACTTGACTAGGTTTAAATCGAGAAAACAAAAAACTCATAACCAGGAAGTTCATCCATTTTGTTACATTTACGTTGCGTCACTAGTTATGGAACAGTGTACATACTGAAAAGCATTTCTTGGTTTTGACGGTGTATTTACAATTGCCACAGGGATACTAACATACAGATCACAAAGAACTAGTACAAATAAGTTTCTAAAATCGAAATGGAAAGCCGAACCTTTATCTTAAACTCATTCTTTTTGAAAGGTGGAAGTTGTTCTTTGGAGAGTTTGAGGAAACATTCCGATTGATATTCATCAGATGTTGAGTGTTCTATCTTACATCTGGCTAATGGTTTTTACCTCAGAACCTCTGGATAAAGCACAGCTAATCCTCGTGAGAGATTACTAAGATCATCATCAGCTTTGCA